GCGCCCCTTACTTCGCATAGGTGTTTGCCGCCATGTTGCCCTTGCGCTCCCAGTGAGACATGCGGCCCGCATGCACATCTGCCATGGTGGCGTGCGCGCGGAGATTGGTGACCCCGAAGTCGTAGACGTCGAAGTCTCGCCAGAACGTTCGCCACATGTGCGCACAGGGATCGGTCGACAACGTTCCCCGGCCCCACAGCAAGGGAGTCCACTGTGCCCGGGCAGCAGGATGAGGAGGAGGAGGAGGAGGAGGAGCGACTTTAGTCTGGCCTCCCGGAGGCCTCTGGACGCTTTCAGACACCTCCTGGAGGATGTGAGGGGCGGTGGGTACGAGGAGGGGGAGGAGGAGGAGGAGGAGGAGGAGGAGGAGGAGGAGGAGGAGGAGGAGGAGGAGGAGGAGGGCAAGGAGGAGGTACCCCTTCCTATCGTCAAGACGCTGAAGAGGCTCGCTGTGCCTTGGGTCCTTCCATGGGAGTTCCTCCAACGCTCCTCGTGTACCCAGGCGCCAGGCGCTCCAGGGGCCAAGAAGGGGCTTCGTTTCTTAGTTAAGGTAGAGCTCCCCAGGGTAGTGGCCTCACTGTACGCTCCATTCTCTTCCACATCGCCTTTTAGGCTCAGGTATGCCGTGTGGCATGTCGATGGCGAGATCATCGTTTGATCGTCTCCGTCATCATCTTTACCGGCTGATCTGTCACGAAGACGCTCGCTCGCTGGATCCCTGCTCCCAGTCTCCAGCAGGATTTCAGAAATAGCTAGCGCTCGGCCCAAAGTTGCGCAAATAGGGCCCGAAGACGGCCCAAGCGGCGCCAAGAAGGGCCGCAGAGGGCCCCGAGATTGACCAACAATGGACCAAGGCGGGCTCGAGCCGGCCTGGAAGTACCTCTCTAGACGGCGCAAGGTAAACACCCCCGTGTTGGGCCTGAGTCCTGTCTGAACATGTCCGAACCAGGGGAGGTTTGGGCCCGAGGTGGGCGTCCGAGACATGTATACAGTAGGGGCTCGTTCACAAGAAGCCTTCCACCAGAAACACAACCCTGAGACCGCAGGACGTCCATTCATTTTTGGTGTGGGCACGCCACGTTTTTCACAGCAGAGTCATCGAAACCCACCCAGGGCACCCTGGAGGGAAGCAGGGTGTTTCTTGGCATGGGTCTCCACTGTACGAACTTGTAACTTGGAAGTGGCGCTGGGCGCGACGCCGCGCAGCGCCGCGCAGCCAGCCGTCCCGCTCTCGGAGAGACTGCACTTGCATGTCGAGCGCACCGAGGGGCAGGAGGAGGAGGAGGAGGAGGAGGAGGAGGAGGAGGAGGAGGAGGAAAGGAGGAGGAGGAGGCGGGGCGTGCGAGCAAGCGCGTGTGTACAGCAGCGCAGAGGTCTACACGCGGTAGGCTGCACGGAGGCAGCAGGCGAGCCCCAAGAGAGAAGAGCGGCCGCCAGGGCTGCGTGGGGCGCAGGGAAAAGGGGGGCGCGGGGGTGCGCAGGCAGCGGTTCTCTGTTCCCAGCCGGGCGCAGAGGCCCTCAACAGCGGCGTGATTTTTGGCGCTACCTCTGCACTGCCTTGCGGCGTGTTGGCTACGGCGGCGGCATCGGATGAGGGCCGAATTCCTGGGGCCCAGGCCCTGGCGCGTTCCTTCCTGTTTCAAGGCGAGATGGGTGGTCCACGTTTGGCCGCCCATCGGTCGCGAGACCCTGGGTTCCTTATATCGAAGGCATCCTTGTCTACATCCTCCACCGTAAGTTGGCCTGAAGCGGCGCTCGTGCGGGCCCGAAGAGCCGACCTTCAAGGCCAAGCGAGGTCCAGGACATGAAGCGGGACTCTGCCCTGAAAGCCAGCTGGGAACGATAGATAAGAGCCGAGCTCGTCTTGACCTCCTTTTCGGGGCCGTCTGAGGCCTCGAACATTACCTTGTGTGCAGCGGGCGACGGGATGCTGGATCTTGTTTTGGGGAAGCAAGCGCTAAAGCTTCTTGGGGAACACGCTGCTCGGCTGCTGAGCGGGATTCGAGGGGACCCGCTCAGATCACTGCCCACGGCCTGCGCCGCAGACGAAGTATTTCGGGCAGCCAGGGCGTCTTTCACAGCCCCAGCTCTTGCTGAGACCACCTCGGGGATCAGTGGTAAAAAAGTCAATCGCCCAAAAATCGTCAAACTCAGACGTAGAGTAGAGTATACTCGATTTGAGTAGATTATGTCAGAGTAGAGAAGAGTAGTATAGTAGAGCCGAGGAGGACCATATTGGAGTAGAGTTGGAGTAGAGTAGTGTATGGGGTAGGAGTCGGTGTAGGAAAATGAGCAGGAGCAGAGTCAGAGTAGCCATGTCGAGCGAGTCCGAGGGCTCCGCCTTCTCGCTCCCTCCTCCCGCAGCATCAATCTCAGTCGTGGCACAGCTTGGTAGTGGATTGAGGTCGCGCTTTCACCTGGCAAGCGTACAGCGCCTGCGCACGGCCTCGCTTCCGACGACTCGGCGCAGGGGCGGGAGCGGCAGCAGTTCCGACCTGCGCGGAGACGGCGCGGCATGTGCCTCGCCGACGCAGCACTGCCACTTCTGCCCGCGAGCTGCGCGGCGCTCGGGCGAGATTCAGGAGGGAAAAAACACACAGACACAATTAATCGTCGACTTCCAGGAAAATATGGGAACATACGGGAATCGGGGGGGAAGACAAAACCCCAGAAAATATAGGAAAATATGGGGGATCCTTTTATTTGTGTGTATTTATTTGTGTGTCCTGGGGCCCCTTCAGAGATCCGCATCTCGCCCGCTCTCGGCGCGGCCCCGCCGCCGCCGCTGACCGACGCGGCGCACGCGCCCGTGCGCCGCCTCTCTCGCCGGAGCGCCGCATCCCCAACGACCTGTGTCTACGGAGCCTGCGCGGGTGGGCGACGCGTCGCCCGCCCGCGCGGCCGCCCCCTAGGCGACACCAGCACCACCAGGGGGCCCACCGCCAGCGAGGAGGTCCACGATGCCTCTCCGGGCTTGAGGCTGGGGATGTCTCGAGCGAGAGGGGGGGGGGCACACCACCAGGGAGTTCCCCCTCTTGCCTCCTCGCACCTCCTCGCCCTGTTGGTGTGGGTGTCGCCTTTCCTCGTTCCTAAATATGTTGCGCTGGCGGATATTAAAGGTAGCCGCTCTCGATCATGGCAGCTCTACATGCGTTGAACTTTCGGGCCCTGCCGTCCTCCATCCTTCTGACTGTTGCAAGCTTTTGAGACGAAGGTGAGCGCAGGCGAGAGCATCATTTTGAAACCGACCTGCGCTCCATCCTTGAAGCTGTCGGAATTCGCTGAGACACATGTGGGCGGTGCTCAGGCGATATCCCCACTATGACAAGGAATCGCCACTCATCTGTGAAGCTGTTGCAAACTTCTTCGACACATGAACGCGGCGCTTTCGCGAGAGCCCCACTTTGAGGACACCCTGTCCATGTATGAAGTAGCTGCAAGTTCCCAGGCGGGAGTCACATCTTGAAAACGACCCCCTCCATCCTGGAAGCTTCTGCAGATGTTTGAAATCGATGTTCGCCGCGCTATGTAAGGCGATAACAACATGTTGAAAAGGAGCCGCCTTCCATCCTTACACCTGTTGAATGTTTGAGGAACCGATGTGGGCGGCGTTAAGACGACACACCTCTTTAGAAAACGAACTGCGCTCCATCCTCGCAACTGTTGCAAGTTTTGGAGACGATGCTAATGCGAGAGTCCCACTCCGAACAAAACACTCCAGCATCCTTAAAGCTGTTGCGAAGTTTTATGACACATGTGCGCGTCACGGCGCCCAAGCGAGAGTTATATCTTGAAGCGGAACAGGCTTTCATCCTGTTCGCTTCTGCAGTGTTTTAAGACGCATGCGCGCGGCGCTCTGGCGAGAACAACTTTCAGAAAAGGAACCTTCATCCCCGAACCTGCTACATTTCTGCGACAAATGTGCGCGGGGTCAGGGCGAGAGTCCCAGTTCGTAAACGGCCGCCCTCCATCTTTGAAGCCGCTGCTTTTTTTGAGGCGAATGCGCGCGGCGCTGAGGCGAGAGCTCGATTCTGAAAGCGACCCACTCTGCACCCTTGAATCCGTTGCGGGCTTCTCAGACGAATCGCCTGGCCCGCCCCGCCCTACCGTCACGCCTCGGGGTGCGACAGGGAGGCAAATGGGCTGAGGAGGAGGAGGAGGAGGAGGAGGAGGAGAAGGTAAGGAGGAGGAGGAGGAGAAGGTAAGATGGGTCCTCTTCTTCCCCGCCCATCCATCTCTTCTTCCTCGAGGTCAAGCACGAGCACCTCCCAGAGGTCCACGAGCGCAGCATCTTTCCATTCGGGCCCTCTCGGCCAGCTTCCCCGGCGCCGAGCCGCCTCAGCACTGGCGCCGCGGGGCCGAAACTCGCTCCAAGCGAAGTCTTCGCCCTCATCTTCCTCCTGGGGCGGTGAGGAGGAGGCCCTCTTCCTCCCCCGCCTCGTCTTCCTCCTCTTCTTCCTCCTCCTCCTCCTCCTCCTCCTCCTTCTCCTCCTCTTTCTCCTCCTCCTCCTCCTCCTCCTCCTCCTCCTCCTCCTCCTCCTCCACCTCCTCCCCCTCAAAACAGGCGGGTAGCAGCCCGATCGTCACCCCTGCTTGCCCGTAAGGGCCAGGGGGAGAGAAAAATGCATCTCGTCGCCAGCTCCCTCCTTGCGGTGGCCCAGCACGTACACCGCGTGCGCCTGGGCGGGGGAGCGGGTCCCCTGCGGGGGGCTCATCGGTGGACCCCGCACCCATCCCCCCCACGGCCAGGGTGCCCCGCCCTGGCGTGCGTGGGGGTGCGGAGTCGCCCGTGGGGAGTGGCGCCCCCTCGGGCGGCTTGGGGCGGCACGATGGTGTCGTTATCTGAGCCCTACGGGGCGGACGCAGCTCGGAAAACCGTGAGGTAGGTGGCGAGCTTGCTGGCCCTGCGAGTTGGGGGGGAGGTATGAGTTTTGCTGCTGCGGTGGGCTGAAGACCCCCGTGACGGCACAGTGGCATGTGGCTGCAGTTGCTTCTCTTCTTCTCCCTTCCTCCTCCTTGGCCCGTTTTGTGGAGGCCGCCTGGGGACCGTGCCTGGTGGGAGGCATGGGGCGGCACCCAACGCGGTGTCGTTTCGTGGAGAGCTCGCGTGCAGTCGGCGTCACCTGCCGCTTGCTTGCGCTCCTTTGCCCCTGGTTGAACTGGCCACGTGGGTGGCATCGCAGCATGATCCAGCATGATCCACCTCCTCCCCCTCCGCCTCGTCATCCTCCTTCTCCTCTCCCTCTCCTGCCATCTCCCGAGGAAGAAACCTGGGCACGTAAGTACACACCTCCGGATGTCCGCGTGGAGATCCCCCAGGCCAGCGCCAGACCCCTTTGGATCGGCGCCTCCTGTGCTGATCCCCAGAAGAATCCGCGCCGGGTTTCTTGGATCCGCGCCCCGGCCCCCCAGCGGCGCCTCCGGCGCCGCCCCCTGACGCGCTCCGCGCGCCAGGGACGGGGGTCCAGCGCAGATCCAAGAAGTCCGCGCGAAGCGCCCAGAGTTTGTGTCTATTGCGTTTCTTCTTCTTCGATAGGCGGCGCGTCCGAGACCAGGAGTTGTACATCTCATATCCACCGCCCAGGGAACCGGGAACCGGCATCCCAGGACCCGAGGGAGCAGCGGATGTGGATATTTTAATTTCTGGCCCTCCCCCAGGGTCTGCCTCACCCCACTCGCTTCGGATTGTTTTTCTTCACTGCGCTCCCCGCTTCTCGCCCCTTTTCCCGCCTCACATGCCACCATCGGTGCATGAGGACCGTGGCGATCGACTTCCTCTTCCTCCTCCTCCTCCTCATCCTCCTCATCCTCCTCATCCTTATCCTTCTCTCTCATTCCTTATTCCCCTCTCCTCCCTCCTCTCTCTTCTCTCCTTTCTCCTCCATCCTCGCTCCGTTTCTCCCTATTCGTTCCCGCTCATTACCCCCTCCCTCTGCCCTCTCTCCTCCTCGCTGCATTCTCGGCTGGAGAGCTGTGCTCAGAGCGAGCCCAGACGCCACGCGCCCCGCATCCTTTCCCGCCTCGCGAGACCGGAGACGACCCCGGTCGTGACAGGTTGGCGTCACATCCTGTTGCATGTTCCCGCGCGCTGCAATGGTTCCAGGGAACCCTCGCCGAGCGCTTCATATACCGCCGCAGCCCAAGCCACCAGGCAAGGGCCTCTCAAGGCAACCTTAACAAATCGGCCAGATGCCGAGAAGGAAGCTTGCGCCGCCGCGCTCTAGCGCAGTGGTGGCATCGACCGAGCAGTCGCTGCTAATAACGAATCTGTTCAGTTCACAAACATCAGTACGACCTTGGCAACATAGCGATGACGCCGCTCCGACCAGCGGAAACTTAGGGACGAGCTGATGAAACGGTGCGAGAAACATATCAGCAACATCGTACGCTACCATTCCCAGAAGAGCACAAGACGGGCACCAGCTGTGATTCAGCAGGGTCCACTGCCTCGGGCGACGCCCAGAGCAACCGCAGCGCCCTTTTCGTCAGCAGTGATGCACCAAACGTCCCGATCACGCCTCCGGGTCACCTGGCCGACCACGGGACCTCGCATACCAATCGCATTCACCGACATCCCACCAGGGCCAACATACTGACCGAATATCCTTTGATTTCCATGATCATCGAGTCTGTCGTTACTTCGGAAAGGGGTGCAATAGCCGCCACCAGAGGACCCTGGACTAAACCGCTGCAGCCACCGCCAAACCCTACGGGTACACCCACCGAGGTGGAGCTCAGAGCAAGCTCAGGTGAGGCGAATGAGACTTCACGTCTGATCGTTCGCTCCCGCCACCAGCCGGCCTGTGCCTCGACGTCGAGGCCCAGGCCAACAGAGACGACAAGCTCGCCGAGCGCAGGAACCACGGTGGAAACACCAGATTCGGTTGCGTTTGCGCCGAAACCCGTGCTAGGGCTTGAGCGTGAACCTCCGATCCGATGCCAGCAGGGGCACTTGCGAGTGCGGCACCGACCGAGGATTCTTGGGACTCCGCGGTCGTCTTCCCAACTGTCTCCTCGGCACCCGTTCCCTCGCGAATTCAGTCAGGCGCCGAGGTGGCGCGGAAACCCGCGCCAGGGCCTGAGTGCAGACCTCCGACGCCAGCAGGAGCACCAGCGGCTGTGGCACCGATAGGGCCCGCGGACTCCTTGAGGCGCAGCTCGCGGCAGCGGAAGTGCCCGAACAAGATCCGCAAAGACCGCTGCGGCCAGCAAGCCCCTGTCGGGCCACCCCTTCCCCGATGTCTCGGAGGGCGATGCCAGGGGCGCCCGCTAGAGCTCATCGGCGCGACCCCTCGCGGGCCCCTGGCCGTGGGAGCGGCCGGCAGCGACGCTCCGTGCAGCGAGGGCGAGCACCCCTGCGGACGCGACTCGCTTCTCCCTCGGCCCCGACTCTTTCTTCCTCTCTACGCAGCCCCGACAGGGGTGCCCGGATCGTTCGCAACGCTGGGGGCGAGATGCCGCGCATTTGTTTGCTACCGTCGTGGGGCGATCGACGGTCTTAGTTTGCCTCGTCTCGGGCGTTTCGCTGGGCTTACCTGGGCCGCGCTCTGCGGCGCGCCGCTCCAGTGCGTAGATTCCAAAACCTAGCTGGGGCGAGCGATCGCCTCGTCCTACTCGCGCTCATGGTCGTGGCCAGCTCACCAGACCTTGCAAAGAGCACCAAGTCTGAATGCACTGCGCACAGTGCCAGGTAACTGGCCCAGCCCAGCATGACGAAGCCGAGCACAGCGAGCGCTGGCGCCCCTACAGTGAGCAGCACGTCGGAGAGCAACAACCCGACTCTCACGCCCACCAGCGAGGCGTGCACGACCAGCAGCACACCGCTGAGCAGCTCGTCGGAGAGCACCATCTCTATACTGACGTGCATCGGTGGGATGAGCACTGCCTCGAGTACCGCGTCGCTCAGCAGCGCGACGGCCGCCAGTATTTCGACGATGGCGGTGAGCTGGGGGGCAGTAGGCCGACCCCGCCGTCCACGAGGGAGACGAGCATTGTCTCAATCACTGTGCCGCTAAGCACCATGATGGGCGCCATCAGCGCATCGTTGACGAGCGCGCCAGGCAGCAGCGGCGCGACCATGACGCCAACGAGACGGGTGAGTGCATCCTCGGATGCCACGTTGCTGAGTAGTGCGACGGCTGCTGTCACCTCGACGTGCAGCGGCGCGTCGTGAAGCAGCAGCCCGACCCCGATTCTCGCGGGAGAGACGAGCACTGCTTCGAGTACCGCGTCGCCCAGCAGCGCGACGGCCACCAGTATCTCGACGATCGGCAGCGCGTCGGCGAGCAGCACGCCGGACCTAACGTCCGCGAGGGGGGCGAACATTGTTTCAAACACTGCCGCTACGCACCGTGATCGGGGCCAGCAGCGCATAGTTGACGAGTGCGCCAGGCCGCGGCTGCGCGACCCTGACGTCGACGAGACGGGCGAGTGCGGCCTCGGATGCCGCGTCGCTGAGTAGTGCGACGGCGACGCTTCGACGTGCAGTGGCGCTTCGGGAAACGGCAGCCCAGCCCTGGCCCCTCGCGGGGGAGACGGGCGCTGCCTCGAGCACCGCGTCGTCGGCCACCGCGGCGGCCACCAGTTGCGCGCCGTGTAATCGCATCTCTCAATGGTGAGCAGCGCGTCGGCGAGCACCAGCTCGACCCTGACGTGCGTGTCTGGGGCGAGTGCTGGCTCGAGTGCCGCGTCGCTGACCGCTGCGACGGGTGCGGGCGGCGCGTCGTTGAGCTGCGTGTCGGAGGGCAGCGCCTCGACCCCGACGTCCACGAGGGGGGCGGGCGCTGCCTTCAGCGCCGCGTCCCAGGCCGCCGCGACGTGCGTTGGCATGGCGACGTCGGGCAGCGCGCCGGAGAGGGGCAGCTCGGAGCTCGCGCTCCCGAGTGGGGCGAGTACTGCGTCGAGTACCTCGTCGCTGAGCAACGCGAAGCAAACGGGCATCTCGACCGCGAGCAGCAGCGCGTCGGAAGAGCGCCCGCTCCATTCGGACGTCCACGAGCGGCGCCAGCACCGTCGCGAGTGCCGCGTCGCCGACCATCGCGATGGGTGCCAGCTGCGCGTCGTTGGCAGCGCGGGCGGGGGCGTCGGCGTTGCGCGTGGGATGACTACTGCATCGAGTGCCACGCCGCGGAACAGCACGACGGGAATTTGAAACTCGACGTGGAAGTGCAGGTCGGAATGCAGCCCCTGAATCCTGGCGCCCACGAGAGGGGCGAGCATTGTCATGGGCACTACGTTGCTGAGTACCGCCGCAGGAAGCAGCAGCGCACCTTGGCGTAGCGCGTCTGCGGGCACCAGCTTGTCCCTGTCGCGCGCAAGCGAAACGGGCGCTGCCTCGGGTGCCGCGT